CATTCCCAACAAATGGCTTGGCAGTAGAGTCAAAAAATGAATATAACATACCTTTATAAATAAAGTATCTGAATAAAAACCCATTTAAGTATTCTGGTTGGCATTTTATGTGATAGGAAAGCAGAAGTAATCGGCGTTGGGCGCATCCCATCGCCCTCGACTGGTGGAAAGTGAGGAGAGAGTATTCTATGCAGACAAGCTTGTGTTTTGTATGCATAATCAACAATTTTATCCTGACGGTTCCTTCGATTAGACAAAGGTAGCAACATATAGCCTGTTTTTAACCGTCCCCTAAGCTGCACCAACTAGACAGAGAGAGAGGGCGGATGACAACAGGCTCAGTATGTGGTTGCCACTCGACAAACGTTGATAAACATTTCTCGGCAGTCGCTAACCTTGACCAGAAACTGGAACTGCATCTCAACTAGGCACAAAGTATGGTGATTGGTAGACTCGTATCGTCAAACATGTGTGTTACATTGTTTTCTACTTAGTCAGCTGAAATGCTTTTTATACACTTGCGGAAATTTCCATCAGAGAATTGAGAATATTAGTTTGGCGGGCGTACGTATGCTTTCTATAAATTCTCTTCGGACCAGTACATATATATGGGAGCGGGGTACAAGTTAAAACATGTCCGTTTTTTCGTACAAGTGAGTCATGGGTAGAGGGAAGAGGGGTCGATAAGAGAAGGTTGGTGTTGTAGCCTTGCGCGTGCCTGCGTCGACAAGGGTTATATCCCCCAGTTGTATGTTAGGAAAGGGCGGCAGATAGGATAGCAGAGGATAGTTTAATGTAACTGTTTCTGCTTGTAGACTCTGTCTTCTGTGTGTCTGGCAGCTTGGTCGCCTATGCAACCCGGTCTTGTCTGCAGCTCGGTAGTTTCTGCACGTCAGTCTTGTCTGCAGCCTGGTAGTATTTGCTGCTCAGCCCGTATCCATCAGCAGCGTGTCTACTGTCGACGGTCTCGTTTCAACAGCAGCAGGTCTCGGCAAAAGAGACTTGTGTCGCCAGCAGCAAAATGCACTTCTGCTCGCAGCCTCGCTATTTAAGGGTCAGTAGTTTCTGTTCCCTATTGGTCCTCCACCAGTGCATTATGCAAGCAGCCATCCTGCGGCGACCTCAGTGTGACAGCTCGGTGGCTGTGACCCACGTGCGCAGAACTCCTTTGCGTCCTCGCCTGGTGTCGGCCTTTGAAGGTCGCCCTCTTGGCCCCTTCCCCCTGCGCTCGCTGGCATGTAGACTTCCTTTGTTCTCGTGACCTCAGCCCGGCCCGAATGATGACTCGTGTGCTGGGCTGTCCTAAAGGCTGGTTATGAGGGCAGGGTTTAGTGGAGCCCAACAGAGAGCGAACGAGGGCATGCCA